TCGCTTTCTGTGCTCCAGCCCGGTGTATACGTGTTCCTATGGCCGCGGGGGATGTTCTTCTTCGCAGCCGTTTTGAGGAGTTTTGTGAAACGGTCGAAATTTTCAGGGGTCGGTGGGATGCGGCCCACGGTTTTTTCGACTGCTTCTGCGAACCCTGGCCAATCTGCCCGTCGCAGGTTCCACCTCGGTGTGGGTGCACTTGAAATGCACGGGATTTCGAGGCCGACATGGATGACGATCGGCCTATGTTGGCTCCTTGGGAAGGGGTCGAGTACTGTCCGTGAGGCCGGTAGTGGGGTCCCATGCTGGTCCGTAGACGTAAAGCACAGGTCCAGCGTATATTCTTTCTTCCAGCGGGCGGACCGGAAACTTTGCTTTTGCTTGGCGTCAAACAGCAAGTGTTGATTATTTGCTGATGCCCAGTCAGCAAGCTGTTCTCCTGCGTTGTCGTTGGTCGGGTAGTCCCACAAACTGTGGTGACTGTTAAAATCTCCCTCGAAGACTGTTGGATAGACGGATGGCGGAAGCGGTGGTGAAGACCACTGGGGGGTGTTGGGTGGTTTGTACACATTATAAACCACCAGTTTCCCGATGCGCACAGCGATGGCGTAACCGTCTTCAGGTGTAGGGATGTCTTCGATTATGTCCCGCATGGTTGGCCTGGTGTAAGTGGCCAGTCCATGTTTCGGGTGGCATCGGCTGGAAACAAGGTCGAGTCCAGGAATCTGGAGCCGCTGCACATGTTCTTGTGCCACGTGCGTCTCTTGCAGAAGCAGGACATCGATGTTGTTTTCCTGCATGAGTCTCGCAATGACTTCTCCTTTGGATCGGGATAGGCCCCCCACATTTAGTTGGCATAGCCGAATTGCTGGAGCCACTTGGCGATTCAGCTGGCCCTGATGAAGACCTTTTGGCCAACGTTTTGCGCGGTCGCTATTGTGACTGAGAGGCGTTGTGAAACGGCGTTCAGTCTCTGATGTAGGGGCATTAGTTCGCGTTTTGAGCGATTACCAGGTAATCGTCAGGTTCGCTTAACGGGGAGGGCCACGAGAGGGCTGCCACTGTCCCCCCCATTATTATGATAAAATTTTGTGTCGCACTCAAAATGGCACGAAAGTGAGGAAGTGTAAATTATTCTGCAGAACATAAATCTATTGAACATAACAGGAAGAGTGATGTTCTGCAATCGCAGTCAGCCGAAAGAGCAGGACAAAATGCTACTTCGCACAGAAAGGTATGCATTTATATGCTTTATTCGATTTATTTCACTCCGTGCGTGCACTGGCTTTTGCACTAGTATGCCAATAATATATCTTTTTCCCTTAAGCAGTGCATGTGACATGGTCACAACAGACGTTAAACTTTGACTAAAATCGTCCGCATGGTTTCTTACTCATGGGCTCTTCCTATTTCTCCTCTCTCGGTTGTTGGCAACACTGCTGGGTGAGGAAAGACGGAAAGATTTAACGCCATCTTTAGCAGATTTAGAAGAGATTTCATTCCCATTTCCAAGGCACATCGAAGCCTTCTAGAAGGGGAATCGGATTGGCCCAAAGAGAGATGGGACGAGCTAAGCCAGGCCTGGAAAATTCCCACTCGTGCACTCCTCGGCGGCAAGTACGTTTTGCGGTTTAGCAAAATAAAATGAAAATAGATTGGCTAATGAAAATCAGATAGTCTGGCGAGTGAAAATTACTATAAACGAAGAACCATTTTTTACACCCCTCGTGCGAGGGGTTTCCGTCTTCTACCAACCCCTAACCCCGCGTGAGTTCGTATCGCCCATCGTTAGATCTTAGATACGTCTTTGCGCAGGCCTATCTGTGCAAGAAATGCGTAAAATGATTCCCAGAACTTGCTCAAAATGGAGAAACCTCTATTCGACGTGATCGATTGATGCTAATGGCTTGAACTTTGGTAGCCATCGAAAACCTGACAGCCTCCCTTACACTAACACTGTCTTGGATTTCTCGATAGGGAAGAAGGGCCCCTTCATAAACCCTCGGGGCAGTACTAGAGCGTATGGGAGTACTTGGCCTCAGAGCCCCATCTCTTCCCTCTGCTCATGCGAGAAGCTCGTGGGTCTCGAAGGGATTCTAATCTGATCGCTCCCTCCATTTTTCGAGTCCAGTTCCATATGGTGTTTGTATTTAGTTTCATGTATAGATGGTGCAATACTTATCATCGGTAGACTAAACTTCTAAGCTTAAAAGCTTGATATTCTCACAATAGGTTTATCTGACGTTAAAGTATTCGTAGCCAATCGCCTTGAATGAATAGGTGCTTCCGCGCCATCTCTCGATCTTAATCACTTCCTCTATAAGATATCCGCCTTTGCATATTTCTCTTTGAGCGTTTAATGAAAAAAGTGAGTCTCCTCCATGGCCTTCGAACAGTCATCCGCAAAAAGAAAAATTTTCTTTCCTTGGGAGTGTGAAAAATCAGATGAATAAATATTTAGGAAGCAGATTTGAGCACACGCATAATTTCCCCCGCGAGCCTCCATAACTGGCGGATTTCGAAGATGACAGTCAAAAGAAGTATACGAATGGAAATTTGTGCCCTTTCTGTTGGGGACATACGTATCTGTTTTGACGAGCGAAATCCGATTTTCTTCGGATTGAGTTCCTACCACCCCCTCTCCCCCAGGGGGTAGCGTGGAATGGGTATGGTATGGAGAACGAGGCTGAAATGCATTATATGATGCGTTTTAATCGCATCGAAAATTTGATGCGATAAAATCGCATCACCTGGAGGACAGATTTACTCATGACCAAAATGCATCCATTCGACGCCCTGTATATTCTGTGTGAAGAGCGTCTTCGGTGATCTTTGGGCATCTAAACATCGTGTAAGATTGACTCTTGGGAAATCCCCTCGGACGGGCCTGCAGTCGGTTCAGCTGTCACCAATTTGCTCTCTGGGTTGAGATCAGACACGAGAGAAAAGGGAGACGTGGAGAGAACTTTGCTTTTGCTACATGTTGCAGCGAGTAGACCCGATAACGAGGAACGTATCTTTCCCATTCAGTTGCAAATCATGTGTGAGTGTGGAAGAAAATAGGAAATTGCTCTGAAGAATGGATGACTTCATTTTCCCTCATATCTTTTTTCAACTGGCGATATTGAACATCACATCGACGCAAGTCATCGGGGAACCTTGCCCTCCCTCTCCAGCCAATATCATCCTGACATTCCTTTCCTAGATAGAAGAAAGAAGCAATGTCATTCACAATGAATTTGCAATTCAATTACGGCAAGCGACTACAACATTGTGATATTCGAACATGTGTAGCATTTAGTGGAAGGTCTCTGATCTGAAAGCGAGAAAAAATTGAGCAGAAGCTGTGAATCAGATGAGACTCCAGGGATTAAGAAGTCTTCAAGATTCTCTTCTAATAATGAAGGTGATTTAAATGCACCTAATTTAGATTACTTAAATGAGTGACCACGATGCCACAATCGTGAGATTTGGTCTTTGAAAAAATGCGTCATTCATACGGTATGGCTCTTGAAGACTTGGATGGTGAGGACATTTTTTCCGGACGACTTCCCTGGAATAATGCGCAGAGACTCTGTCTCTCGCGCGCTGCCAGCTGAGACTCTCGCCTAATACTCAATAGTAGTGCAGGAATCTCGGAGAACGAGTGAAACTCCTGCTCGAGCAGAATAAACTTTCTCCCGCCTGCCAATATTGGCCGCATCAAGGACCCAAAAATACATGTATCTGCATCCTCAGAAGGCTGCTTGATTTGATGGCAGCAGAAAGCAAGCGACAAATAACGTGAATGACGTCTGGCACGCATTTCAAGTGCGCAAAATTATTGTTGATCCATTTGCTGACTTGGAATGCACAAATATTGATTCGACTCTGCATCATTGAAGTTACAATATCCATCTTGTTCAAAGCAATTCCGAATTAACTAATTGTTTATGGCTAGTTGGCAGTTGTTTAGGATCTTCGAGTTTCAGAGTAAATTTTCACTTCGCGAAATGTTGTGAGCGATTTTTTTTGCTTTACTTTGAGAAGTGAGGTACATTACAGAATAAAATAACAATACTGTAGTTTATTGATATGAGTAGTACTTGGATGCATCGCGAAAGAAAGAGAGAAGGCACAGAAAGAGTATGTCAAAGGCACTTGGCGTCAAAAGCAATATCATTTCCATTTCCACTTCAGTTTGTCTGTATTCAGCCTTTCTTTGCACGTTAGGAAAAGGAAATCGGGGTCACAGTTTACGTGTAATCACCGAGAAGTTCAGGTTTTTGTAATAGGAATGTGATTTTCTCCTCTCCTAGTTTTCGATATCATTAAATGCCTGCATGAATCGGATGGATTAGGTCGATTAATTGGGATGTTGGAGGTAGGTCTAAGCTCGGGTTAGACGATGTGCAATTGCTATTAATAATGCTTTTAGGAGTGCGTCTTCGGAGTTAAGTAGCATTGCGACGAGTTCCAAATTACAAATGACTTCATCCCTCAGTTCCGAGAAGGAATTGAGGGGTGATGAAATTGTGCTTTATTGCGACGAATGTCGTGGCTGGATATGATCATGGCGCTTTGCGGAGGACAAACCCCCCCACCCCCCATCTCATCAGAATCTGAGGGAAACTCCTAAAATTTTACTCCAGAGGGGAAAGTCAGGCTTCGTATTGACTTACGCCGGAGACTCCTGGGATATCGATGATGGTGGCAGGGGTGTGATAGACGAGGTTCTCCCCGTTTTGGATGGGGCAATTCCCGGTAGTCAAATGCTGGCAGCCGTCACTATCTATCCCCAGCTGTTGCGTGATATCCAACTCAGTACCTGCCACCACGATCAAGGCAAACGGCTCCAGCTTGTTGGAGACTTCGCCTGCAAATGTTTCACAATACGAGATGCTGTTGATCTTCTCAACTATAAAATATATTATCAGTACGATTTTATGACTTTCTCCATCCCTGCAAGCCCAAGAGTTCAGGTTATCGACATAAGTATCTTCATGTCCAATCAGTCTGGAAGGCGAACAGCGTTTTTTTTTCGGAACAAGCGACAGAATTTTGATTAACACGTGTGCCATCTGCTTACAGCCTACACTCTTAGAAAAGAGCGAGCGATCTCTGAGAAAGGAAGCGAAACTGGAGTTAGCGATTTTACTCCCTAAAAACGAAGACGTACAATCGATAACTACTTCTTTACATGAGCAGAATCCATAACTTTTTTAAGAGCGCGAAACGAAAGAGGGAGAATACGTATCAAACTAGTAGAAAAAGTTAGTGGTTATTCTCAGGAAAGAGAGAGGTGAGTGGCATTATTTCCTTGTTTTCAGGGAGCAAAATCGCTAACTCCAGTTTCGCTCCCTTTCTCGGAAATCGCTCACTCTTTTCTAAGAGTGTAGCATAGAGTGTAACGAGAGGCGACACTCCGAGGGGTAGGGGGAGGGTCGAAATGTTACAGAGACATCTGGTGGTTTGTTATCAACAACACTTCCATGAGGCGTGCTTCCTGGCGACGGAATCATAAATCGACTCATTCGGGGATTCGACCCGAAGGGATCCATCAACGTAACACGCGTTTCTCCTCGAGTCCGCTGCTCGGCCATGGAGTTCTTGATCGACAGCGACATCTATATTGCGACCCTGTCAACGAACGGGATTCGAGCGGAGTGGAGTCTCAATAGTGTTAACCTGACACATGTTCGCGTCCAGTCCAGCAGACGAAAGTCCACTTGTTCGGTAGTCACTAAAGCGCCGTTCAAGGCGACTTTCCCTCTAGCAGTTAGACGCTCCAACAGCGAACTCAAGAAACAGGTTCCACGCGACGTCATCGTTCAAGGACCCAATCAGCATTCAAAGCACTAATACTGAAACCGAACCTATCTGTGATTGGCTCATGCAGTCTGCCAAGATTTCCCCCCCCCCCCCCCCCCCCCTTCCTCTTTGCCTCCTCGCCTCCATTCCTCCCTTGCAGCAGGGTATAAAAGGACGGCCTGACTTTCACCAGACTCATTCGCCCCGGGAGCGCCATCCGCCCCCGTCCTCGTTCTAATTACTCGCTCGACTCAATCTGAATCTGCGCGCCGCGGCATCCAGGGTTGCCGTGGGTGTCGACAGATTTATTGGCCTGTCAACAAAGTAGTTCAAGAGAACCGGAAGTCTACAATGCTACTGCCGCGTTCGAGGAGCTTTTAAAGTGCGACGCTTCTGCCTCGATAGGTATTTTCTTTTCATAAAAAATGCTTACCATGAACACGCAATTTGAGTCGATTTTCATCATATTGTATACTTCTGGTATGCACCTTCCTTAAGGAGAATATCTATCAAAGAGGAAAAGTTCATGTACCGTCTAAGAATTAAAAGCGTACTGCGTGAAGTCGCTTCCAAAATCTGAGTCGCATCTCGATTTTCAGGGCAACCCGATGGCAACCTTTCAGGGCAACCAGAGGTCGGCACAGTATTGCGTTGCAGGGAGAAAAAAGAAAATGGAAAAGTCTGAAGACTTTTTTAAACTACGATTTGCTAAATGACAGAAGAAAAATAAACCCGTCATGAACGAACTCAGATGTCCCGGTAAGGCTTATACTATAAAGCATTGCTTATATAAATATATTGTTTACATCGCGTGTCCCCTCCCCCCTCACCCCCCCTTGCCCCCTCAACACTCTTCCTCTTAGCCCCCCTTTTGACCCTAGCCACGTCGCCGTCTCGCCGTCGCTATGAAACGGCCGAGAATCGCAGTCGTCCCTGCTGTCGTCTTCCCGCCGATCGTGCCCGATCGCCTCCGATCGCGCCCTATCGCCTCCAATCGCGCCCTATCCCCAACCTTCACTCGACTGCGCTTTTTCCAGGATGCGCGCAATGGCCTTGGGCATTCCAAGCTGCAAAGGGAAATGTGAAGAGCGACTGCACTTTCCCGAAGGTCAACGTTGCCTTCGACCAAGTAAAATAATGAATAAATACCTCCTGAAGGTCACATACTGAACCGGTACTGAGCACCAAGTACCAAAGTACTACCAGCGCCTCGAAAGATTCATGAAGGATAATGATCGCGGAAGGCGAAACGTAATCGTACCAGTCACGTCACGCGTTCTTGCTTCCACCATGGCCGCTAGATGTCAGCGCAGGTCTCACGCTGTGACGTCAGAGCGCGTCGCGGCATCCGCGCGCGTCTCGCCTGCGACGATCGCTGCTTCGCGTTGGGGGCGGCAGTCGCGACACGATCCGGCATACGAATCCGTTCCGCCGCGGCGATCCGCTCTTTGGCAACCCTGCAATTCGGCATCCCTGTTCCTCCCTCCGCAGGGTTGCTCAATCCTTCGAATGGAGGAGAGTCGGAGGAATCAAGCAACCCTGCCCAAGGAGCAGAGTCGCCAGATGGCATTCGACCCATGAAGTCACAAAAGAAAGGAAATCCTCCCCGCTGCAACCTTCATTCCTGCGAATCATTCCTGCCGATCATTCCTGCGAATCATTCCTGCCGATCATTCCTGCGAATCATTCCTGCGCTGATCGTTCGAGGAAGGAAAATCGCAATCGCTCGCGCTTGGCGGATCGGAAATTCGCACATTCGATAGCAGCTTTTCGCGCGGGGAAGTACGTAAGGACTGGAGACGAGCAAACGTCGTACCGATCTTTAAGAAGGGCGATAGGAGTAATCCAGGAAATTACAGGAAATTACAGACCAGTAACATGACGTAGTCAATCATCGGCGTAGCTTCGTGAAACCAAATTTTCCTTTGACTCATACGCAGAATATCGAGGCGTACTGGTCCTTAATCAAAAGAGACATGCGCCGACGCGTCGGCCGCATGAGTGTCCAGACATATGAAACGTACTTGATCGAGTACGTCTGGCGCTCGCGCATCGGACCACAGCCGAAGGAGCAAGATCTGTGGATGGATTTCTGCGCCTCCATTCGTCACTTCTTTCCACAATGACGCGTCCTCTCCCAACTAATTTTAGCAAATTGACTTAGAAAATGACCATTATGACGTCATGCACAAGGTTCGCACATAACAATTGGACGGCCTTGCACTCCCGCTGTCCCTGCTGTTGCTATTATGACGGAGCGCGTGTTCACATTTCATCACGACTCGCATATATTGCATGAGCAGGGGCTACGGCATCACGTGCATCTGAAATTGGGTTGTTTACCAGGTGTTTGGTACCATTGGAAACGTTATGACGCACAGAAAACGAATATGACGGTCTTAGCAATTTTATCGGCCAACAGAAAATATATTTGCGCACGACTAATCGGTTTACCCATTCTCTAGTCGGTCTACCCTTTCGCCACGGGGAGCCACCTTGGCCGAGCTCCAAACGAGTCTACTATAATTAGCGCTTAGCCTTATCTACGTGGCCCCTCCAGTTGCGGAACAGCCTTAAAATATATTTGGAATCCTTGTTCAATTTTGAATCTATTCCATCCCATTTTGTTTTTTTTTTTCTGATGTCATATGATGGTGAAGAACTTTAATTCATTGATCCCATCCGTGCTATTACGTTTCGAGCTCATGATGCCAGTGCTGAATTCGTTACCCGTTCATGGCTTTCAAAAAGATTAACCGTTTAGCTTCTGTCTGATGAAGTCTTATTTTTCAAAGCTTTGATCACACGATAATTGCTGAAAGACTTGGGGATCGCTTTTTCTGAAATGCGAATGGCCAGGAAACTCTCCTGATCTGAATGTGGCTGAGAACATTGAAAGACAGAGTTGAGTCTCATGCCCATGGAGGGCAAGCAGCATGGATTCCCCCGGGAAGCCTTGAAAAGCGACATCACTAAGGTGTTGAAGGACGTGGAAGATGACACCGAACTCTTTAAGCGCCTCTTTTAATCTTACCCCGCTCGTATTAAAGCTCTCAGAGACAGAGCCAGGGTGCATACATTACGAGAAGTACATATTTCGATTCAAAAATGAATGCTCTTTCTCATTATATATGAGTGTTTTTTCCTAGTTATTATAGTTTAGGCTGTGGAGGGCTATGTATGTGCAACACCCGATACAGGGTGAGCCAACAAAAGGACAGTTTTCAATGATACGCCATACTGCACTCAAAGCATATATTTTAATGAGGTTTGCGGCATTCGAAAGAGGAATGAATAAGCTTTACAATGGTATATTTACATGCCAAATATCCTCAACGGTTTCTGAAACTCGGGAGTTCATATAAACACCAGCCAAAAAATACGTTGCCGAAGGACCCCGGACAGGGATGGACAGGCGGCAGCCTTCATGACTCAAGGTTATATGCCATCTATCTGAGAGCGCTGCAACTCAGTTTTTGTTTGCTGTTCACATGAACACCCGAATTTCTGAAACTGCTGAAGATATTTGAAAGGTAAATACCTCATTTTAAAGCTTTTTCATTCCTCTTTCAAATGCCGCAAATCGCATTAAAATATGTGCAGTGGGTGAAGTGTAGTGTATAGTTGAAAACCTGTTTTTTTTTTGGCCCACCCTGTACAATGTACGCTAGCGCTTGTGTGTGTGCATTAGGCTTTTGTAATAGATACTTTGAAATCGAGCATCTTTCACTCGGGTTTGCCCAGACTGAGACAAAGCTTGAAGAAGGGTGGAAACTTCGAGAATGGATTTTCCACACCAGAACATACCTGAGGTGAAGGTAGCAGTAATGGTGATATGATCTCCAGGTGCGACGTTGCATGGAGTCTGGGCGCAGCCGGAAATCTCAAGTTGATTATTCGTCGACGTTCCACCTGTGATGGCATTCATCATGATATGACCCATGAATAAGGACTAATGGTGATGAACAAGGGAAAAGAGAAGGTGCAGTTACCGCAACTTGTCCACCCAGTGGTGGCGAGGGTGGTGGCGATGCAGCAGCAGAGAACAATGAAGGCCTTCATTCTTTTGGTTCGTTCTGGGAACGACTGAGGGTGATCAACGAGTCCTGGTCCTTATATAGGGTGGATTAGGATGGGAGCAAACAGGTGTTTTTATGGGGCCTGGGCTCCGACATCCAGGATGCTAGATAAGTGTTAAGTAACAGTCGTACAACACCCGGTGAGTAATAAAAAACGCTCCACTCTTTGAAATTCTTCGGCGTTCATGAGACAACAGACAGCACAACAAAGCTTTTTCTCAGAATCACCTGTGTCTCCTTTAAACATCAATAAATTCTTGTTCATTTTTCTCCAGCCGTTTTATCACATGAGCGATTTCGTAAAAGCCTCTGGAAAGTAATTTTGCGGGAGGGAAAGTATTAGCGGGAGAGTGGTTGGTGAGCGGAATGTGCACCAATTTCGGGTCAGAACCCCTCCGTCTGTCCATAAATAAGGGATAGGGAGGGGGAAGTGTTTTGCGAGAATTTCCTGGCTAGGTATGGAAGAAATGTAGGCTATCATTGACAGATCGATTCACAAGCTGCGAGAAACCGGTTCATCTTAGAGGACAGGGGGAGTGATAGATCCAAATTAGTTTAAACTAGAGAAAATTGCACTCAGCTGCAAACTGCCAGAAACATAGGGGTGAGTCAAGGCGCCATCAGACGCTATCATTTTGCTCGTATGTGACTGCTCCCATATGAGTGAATTTGTCCTGAGCAGGTGATTAGACGCTATGAGAAGACCTCGCGAGATTTCAGGACAACCTTTGCTGCATGCTTAGTTCCTCTCCTGCTGTCGCCTCTTCGAGATCGGGATGGAATTTTCCGGGGGTGAAATAATGATTGCTGGATCAAAATTTTTTTTACTGGTTGGTTTTACGACTTTATTGAAGAAGCTTAGAGGATGTCAGTGGAGTCGAAAATGAGACAGACGTGAGTTGATGCAAAAGCGGCCGGCAAGGAGGCGAGAAAAGGGTTTTCAAGTCAATTTTTTTTCGAGAATTACGAGATGAAGAACCCCCATCGTGTCCGTGCTTTCTGAGGATGAATCACGACACCTTCATGGAACTACTGGCACTCGTTGAACCCAAAATCAAGAGTTGATCAAGTGATGCGGAAAGCGCCATGTTGGCTGAAGAATACCAACCAATCAATACTTGCTATGAACGACCATAAGAAAGTCAAGGACTTCGAGACCTTATGAGTTGGTATCCCACTCATATGCGAGTCTGTGAGTAGCTCATAGACCCTGATTACAGGAGCTCATAGCTCATATGGGAGCAGTCGTATATGAGCAAGACCATAGCGTGTGATGGCGCCTTCAGAGTTCAGGGGATTCTGAAGGAATCATCTGAGCTCAGAGGAAAAAAGCCTTGAAAAGGATTATCATTCCAAATCATTACTGGAGCTGCGAAAGCAGCTCTACCGTGCCCGGTACAGTATCGTGCATCAGGTTTCCGTGCTTCATGGACTGGGAATCCTTGTTTGAGTAACTGCTAGAAGGCTCGCTTGGTCATTTCTTTCACGACGCAGTTTTTGACCGAGCAACTTGTGACTCTGTGCACCGATTGGATCGAGCCCAAGGAGACTCGTAGCCATGACGTGAGAGAATGGGGTTGGACGCTTATCTTTCATTGCAAATGTAAGTTATTCTTTAAAATAAGGAAAATGGGTAGGTCAAAGAAAGTTTTGTTCCATGAGAATGATAAATCCTTGAAAGCTGAGGAATACATATGCAAAAATTCACTGCTCAATCTTCAGCGATCTGGCTACTAAAGCGACAGATATTACTCAGTATTACGTAGAAATACAAGTACAATTTTGTGTCGTAGTCCAGGCATTTTTTGCATGCGTCATGTGTTTCACCTTTGCTCAAACCATTTCAAAGTTTAACCTCTTCACTCCAGTTTGAATCTAAACGCGTTAAAAAAAAATCAAAAAGTAAATTTACGGGGAAAATACTGTCTTCATTATCTTCCAACTTGATAATATTATGTACATGGTTTTTTGTGCTTTTATAAACAACAGTTACTAGAGTTTTACATGAAAAAGTTCAGCGCTCTTCGAGGCGGAGTTTTAAGCCGAAGCTGCTAATTAGATATACCCGGTAAATTCCTAGTTCGTGAAGCTTTTCTAAACTTCCATATACGTGGGGTATGAATAGAATTTTCCATTCAAACATAATATGTGTGGTCCGTAGGCCAAAATATATGTCTTCGATAATGCCTCCGTTTGCGTGAACCACCCTGTATTTTTTTCTTTTTCTCAGTGTCATTGGGTGCAGACTATTTCATGCTTGTCCACGTGTCCCTTCCCTCATTTCATATCCGGGACTCTTTCCAGTCCGACTTCGTGTCCTCTATCGGGTGAATTCGAAACGTAATAGCCACGTGGTGTTCTGTTTATCTACGTCGCTGCCTGATGGTTTTCCCAAGCCCAATCTCTTTCCTGGTATTCGGTCGTACGAGATTCTGGGAGGGATGGAGTCTCAGGTCCGCGAGAATAGGAGTGCGGCGGGTTTAATGGATACATCGTCTGGAATTTCCTCTTGCCGGCTTGAATCCATCTCCAATCGAAGGCATTATAGTTGCAGGAAGGTGCAGAAACTCGACCGAAGCATAGTAAACCTGAGAAGACCGGTGAAGGCAATTGGTAACCCGGCGTGCGAGCACCTAAAATTGATCGCACGGAGAAGAGCTTCCTTTCTTCGAATCAAACACTGGGTCTCAGCATTTTGCTAAATTTACTCATAAATCTTTATGAGCAGCTCGTAGCAAAAAGGATCCCCATATGAGAATGACCTACATCCTGTAATTATTCAAAGTGGGCATCGTCATTGGCCATGCAGTAACACGGCCAATTGTCCAACTGTCAGCGAAATTGTCCAAAAATTCCTGGAGTAAATTTTGGCACATTCGTGTCGAATTCTGCAAAGTATAAAAGTTACATCAAGTGACATGCATGTAAATTTTCCTTGAGGTGCGACCCTTTTATTACGACCTACAGTCGTTTGCGCGACGAGATTTTGTCCAGAGAACTCCTCCGAGGTTTCTCAGCAACTTTTCACCATCAATATCCGATCTAATCCTAATTTATTATTATTATTATAAATTAGATGGTCCAAATTCATGTATACACATTTTTAGTTAACCTTTTGCCTGACCCCGACGACTTTAAGCATACTTTTTAAACCTAGTTTTTGGAGTAACATATCATTCAAAAGCCCTTGCTACGTCAGTGATAATTCAGACATTTACAGGTATTTACAACATATTTACATTTGCACCCTCCTTCCAGTCAATCAAGGAATGAAGCTGATCGATTTACTAGGGTTATCGTGCGGCATGGTGAAATGTGAACGCTCCTGCAGTCTCCTTGCAAACCATACCATTATGTAATCCACACAATTTGTGAGGTCGAACAAGGAAGACTCTTGTTGAGATGAACTCGATCTCTTCGGCCGGTATGACTCCTCATAAGTGAATCTTCCCCGCAAGTACAAGTGTAGTCACCCCTCAATTTCCTGAAAGGTGTCGCGTTGAATTTTGATTCGTGGAAAGGTCATGTGACCTTACCTCGTATGAAAATGTGAAATGAACCTTTTCCCCATTTGGTTCATGAGTATTTGAGCGAGAACACAAGGTCTCCTTAACCCTTTAAGGAGTGAGTTTTTCAGGAGGTGTGCACGCTCAAGGGAAGCTTGGATTTTGGAGAAGGCAACGTGGAGGCAGAACGAAATTACATGCTTAGAACTTTATTTCAAATTGTACCAATGTTAGGGGTAAGGACAGTAGATGGCAGCACAAGACAGTAGAGGATAGGCCACATGACTCTTACATGCAACCACAAGTTGACCGTACCCTTAGAACCAGAGCCAATCGCATAAAAATAAGCGAGATGCACCGATACGTCCATACTCCTGAAAAGTCTTCTTAACAGCGGGGGAATGAGGGGCTTCTCCAGTGACGGGAGGGAGGGAGGAGAGAATTATAATTCTTCTCTTTGACAGTCCAGGTTGTCCCTGCTAAGATATCAGCATCTACTTTTCTCTACTTTTCAAAGAGAAAATTAAAATTAATCTTCTCTGAAAAGTACATTAGAAGCGGGAAGCACAGGCCTTCTGAGATTAGATATATGCTTTTGGTCGAGTTCAATGTTATTTCCTTCGGGGGCCCCCTGGAAGAGTGGGGCTCGGGGCAACTGCCCCCTTTGCCCCCCCCCCCCCCCTTAATCCGGCCCTGCCCAATAGGTTATGTTCTAAAATCTTTTCGGATTCTTGTAGGATCGGATCAGTATGGGATCTCCATGGGCTATTACGTGACCACAGTTGTTCAGGAGAGGCCCCTCAAACTTTCCCATACTTACACAGCAAGCACTTTCCCTTACTTACGTACACAGCGATATTGTTTATCGAGTTCATACTGTTCCTTCCCGATGATGCTACGGTGTGAATTAAAGCCTGACTGCAGAACGAAAATATGCATGGTTGAAGGAGGCTTTCGTCACCATACGCCGCTCCCCCGAATTACTAGGCCTACCTTGAGTGGCTTGATGAAGGGAAATCTAAATTGGGTAGGATTTTGCGTGAGAGTCGCCCACGAGCCATTAGGCTAATGGATTGGAGGAAGGAGATGGCAGGCATCTGCCACTTCCGTAACTGCTCATATGAGGCTTGTGAAACGGAGGGGAACAACAGCGCAGGTATCACTATACCTTGATGGCATCGTCCTGATTTTTCCCAAGAAGCACATTGTCCCCAGCATTTTTCTCAGAAAGCGAATAGAACCATTCAATGAGAAACCCTGAAGATAAAAACATAGTCGCAAGCAAAAAGCACTCATTCGTTGCGGGAGAACTCGATAACAATGTAATTCCAATCTGTATACTGAAGTTTTCTCCGTTGCGTTTCTACCTCTGACCTAATGGAATGGCGATATTGTGATATCGATCGATACATGGTTGGCGATAACGTTCCTTTTAAAACCCATATCGCTTAACCTTTTTAAAAAGTAAGGACTTCACTTACACTGTAGCTATAGGGTGAATCATAAGTCCTTGGACAAGGAAAAATAACGTTATTTCCTTGCACTAAAGAGCTAGAGCAAAACCAATTACACCAATGGAAAGAG